TTGGCTACAGCTGCTGGTAGGTCAGGTCGACGTCACGTCATCGCACATGCGAAGTTTACATGCGAATTAACACGGATAGAAAATCCCAACGAACAACTGTTGGGCAGAAAGCCCGCCAGGCACGAACACCTCGCCTGGTTGGAGAATCCTCCTTAACTATACTCTCTATTCCCTAAAATTCCTTACCAGATCTGTTCGTTTGCCCCCCATATCTATATTTTTTTATGGCATAACCCGGTAAACGAACAGACGGATCACACAGACCTAGTCTGTGTGTTTGCCACCCATCTTTACATATATAATTCTTCTGTGAGTGTGTATGTCACTGAACTTCTCTCAAACGACTGGACCGATTTTGATGAAATGTTTTGTGGGTGTTCAAGAGGATCTGGGAATGGTTTAGATTCACAAATCAGCCCGGCAAATGGCGCTGCAGTCGATGTTTAGGTTATTTATTCTAAACAGCTGAACTAATTTGAATGAATTTTTGTTTATACATTCAAGTGGATATGCAGGAAAACGTCTGTTGGGTCCGCTAGTACCATATAATTAGGTTTTCTATTCTACAAGTAGACAAGCGCTAAATGGCATTTGGCTACAGCTGCTGGTCGGTCAGGTCGACTTCAAGTCATCGCACATGCGAAGTTTACATGTGAATTAACATGGATAGAAAATCCCAACGAATAACTGTCGGGCAGAAGGCCCGCCAGACATGAACACCTCGCCTGGTCGGAGGATCCTCCTTTTCCGATAATAGGGAACTATACTCTCTGTTCCCTTAAATTGCTTACCAGATCTGTTCGTTTGCCCCCCATATCTATATTTTTTATGGCATAACCCGGTAAACGAACAGACGGATCACCTGATGGTAAGCAATCGGCGTCGCCCATGGACACCTGGAACACCAGAGGCGTTACAAGTGCGTTACCGGCTTTTTGGGGATTAGGAGTTTGAGGATCGTTGGGGATTCAGGGATTGGGGAGATTGAGGAAGGGGAGGATAATTGGGCTTCCGGTAACCTCACTCACACGACGAAACACAATGCAAGCGTTGCTTCACGTCGGTTTTCTGTGAGGCCGTGGTATCACTCCGGTCGAGTCGGCCCATTCGTGCCGAGGCACGGCTCTCCCACACACTCGCCTGGTTCCTGGCACATCCTTCTTTTCCGGTCATAGGGAACTATACTCTCTGTTCCCTAAAATTGCTTACCAGATATGTTCGTTTACCCCCTTATCTATATAAATGAATTTCCGTTCGTTAGTCTCAATAAAACTCGGGAACAGCTGAACCGATGTGGATGCTTTCGGTCTTGGAATGTTCGTGAAAGTCCAAGAAAGTTCACTGGGTCAGCTAGTCATAAATAAAACGAAACGACCCCACCCCCTTTTTGATCTTTGACCCCACATTGATCCTAAACAACCTGCCTTCCATGAAAGCTTCGGTTGACCCCCTTAGAGAGCCATTTAGCGGGATTTTAATAATTAAATACAATCTTCTTCAGAATATTTTCACCCCCTAGAGGTTTATTAATGAAATTCGGCTAAAAACGTCTCTGTGTCGTAAATGTAGGCTCAACTATTCATTAAGGCGTTTTTCATGAAACATAATTTATGCCAGCTGACGCTTTTATGTGTACTTAAAGTGAATATTTTAAAGAAAATACTTTTTTTATGTATAGGATAATAGACTTTGTATACGTATTGTGCCCTTAGGGGGTCTTTTTTTATTTTCTGTTTGTATATATAGTACCTATAAAGGTTACTTAATTTTTCTTAAATATGTCGCAAAAAACGCGGGTTACTCACGTGAATATACTGAGAAAAGCTGTACTAGTTTCGAACCACAGAGGGGTTCTTCCTCATGAGCAGCGTGTGCGGTCGCGGCGATGTCGCTTTCTCAGTATATTCACGTGAGTAACCCGCGATTTAGTATGTCTCACGATAGTTATTATAAAAACATACTTAGGCATTTTTATATTACTTTATTTTTTGACGCTTGAGTTAAAGTCAAAGTCAAAGTATTTATTCCAAATAATCCTTAATTAAACATTTTTGAATCGGAGTCGCGGAGAACCTAACGGGTTACCGGGGCTCGAAGAAGGCGGGAGAAGACATTCGATGATTTTCCCCCTTAAAAAAAGACACTTTTGAAACGTCAAAAATTGAATTGTCCGTCCATCTGAAGTCAGTGAAGCTGGTCGTTAAGCATTCGGTCTAAAACATGGTGGTATTTGATGTCAGTAGTCTTAATTTCGTTGACGGAGATCGGCTTCGATTTGTATGATAAATAGATTTTTTAACTTGTTTTATTAGTTCTTTGCACCTCATTAGTCGATAAGACTCAAACCCGACAGCCGAGGAAAGATTTTTGAATTATCAAATGAACCAAAATAGAATGCGGTTTTCGAAAATTGTCAATAGCACGAAGTCTGGAATGGAGCCCGGTACGAAAACTCCACCGGACACATAACATAGAAAAATAAACACTACATTGTTTTATGGGATAAGCCGGTAAACGAGCGGACGGATCACCTGATGGTAAGCAATTGACATCGCCCATGGACACCTGGCACACCAGAGGCGTTAAAAGTGCGTTACCGGCCCTTTTGGAATTAGGAATTTGAGGATTGTTGAGGATTCAGGGATTGGGGAAAGGGATGGGGGGGGGGTGTAATTGGGCATCCGGAAACCTCACTCACACGATAAAACACAACACAACGTTGCTTCCCGTCGGTCTTCTGTGAGGCCGTGGTATCACTCTAGTCTAGCCGGCCCATTCATGCCGAAGCATGGCTCTCCCACACATTTTAAAAACATCAAACCAACCAACAAATAACCGAATAAAAGTATAATAGCCGGATTGGCAATTATGCTTTCGAACCGTTTGGGGTTGAAACTTTAGGGCCGTGGGGCCCAAGTGCACATCTTCTTTACAAAGATATTGTAAGGAGGATGGTTGACACTTCAGGTGATCGAAGGGCTGGCTACTACCTTGGACAAAGGTTAAGCATTGCCATTCAACGTGGCAATGCTGCTAGTCTTTTGGGCACCCTACCTCACGACAGCGATGAGGAAAATTATTTTTTATGCCCTAACATAGCATTTTTGTTATTATAACTTTTTTACTTAAGGTGTAACTATTTTAGTATTTATTTATTTATATTTTAAGTTGTGTATATTAATTTATTTTAAATTCTTATCAATAAAATTTTAAACATGTAAAATAAATCTAGCTATATTAATAAAAGAATGAAAATATGACGTTCAACTTACTAAACCCTTTCATATTACTTAAAGTCTTTAAGTAATATATGTAATATGAAACTTACCCAAAGTACAATAGCTCCCTAAGGATATTTCAGAGGGTTTCATTCCTAAGAAGGCTTAGAATATAAAGTAAATGCTACATGATTTATAATGCATGAAAACAGGCTCTTTGGGGTCCCTGAAGACTTCGAATCGTTGATACTATAGAAATATTTCATGGTACTGACTGCCTCGTGGCGTATGATGACGTCAGAGTAGATGTTTTCATATATATTTTTTATTAGCTGGTTCACGAGCAGACGTATCACCTAATACACCTATTATTATCACGCGTTTTAATCTCTAAAGGAATAGGGGTGCATTTCGAAAAATAATTATTAATAAACTAAAACCTTCTCCTAAGTGTAACACTTTTCTCCGGCCACCGTAAGTGCGGGCCTGCGGACGGTGAGCATGGGTGGCTCGCAGCCCGACCAGAACCAGACCCGAGCGTACGGCGCGCCTCAAAGAGCCATCTGACCACCACGGATGGGACTTAACGGGTTGTCCGGTTCGAAGGGCAGGAGTAGGAACGGGGTGGTTTTTAGTCAGTAAGAGTCTGACACTCCCTCCCGCCTCACCCAGGTGGGAACAGTCATTCGATGATTTTCCCCTCTTAAAAAGTTTAACACTTTTCTGGAAACGGCATAAAAATCGGTTCAATCTTGCCGTCCATACAATTTTGAAAAGTTCCCCTCAGTTTCCATAGGATCTCATTATCTACTCCGAGAGTATGACCTTTCCACCAAAAAAAAAGAATTATCAAAATCCATCCACAAACGCCGGAGTAATCAGGTAACATACAGATAAAAATATAAAAACATACTGCCGAATAGATAACCTACTCCTTTTTGGGAAGTCAGTTAAAAAGCAATTCAATACCTTAGTATTCTCAATTCTTAGAACATACACACACACACACATCGATAAACCACTCTTAATTGGTGCTTCAGTACTACAAATTGATACATTTACAATCAAATGGAATATGAAAACAAATTGTGTTTGATTGAATCCAATTAATTGATTGATTCAAAGTCTGTCTATAGAGTTGAAAGTGTTAGTTAAATTGAATAGTAATTGGTTGTTGACTGTATGATAAACATAACACGAACTTTTCAGGTCGAATTATGATCCCCATCTATGTAATAGGGGGTGAGCCTAGTACCACATACTAGCATCCATACTGTAAGGCGGAAGGAAGTGTCAGACTCTTACTACCTAAAAACCACCCCGTTCTTACTCCTGCCCTTCGAGCCCGAGTCTCAGTAATCTGTTATGTTCTCTGCGGCTCCGTATTGGACCCCATCCGTGGTGGTCTGATAGCTCTTTGGGGCACGCGCAGACCGCGCGCCACTCGCCTTACGCTCAGGTTCTGGTCGGGCGGTGAGGTACTCATGTTTGCCGTCCGCAGGCCCATGCTTACGGTGGCTGGGCATTTTTTAGTATAGAGAGAGATAAATAACCTGGTAGTAAAGAAGTACATACATATATGGCGCCACCCATGGAACCCTAGACGAGTTGCTAGTGGCCATTTAGCGGTTAGGATTTTGAGGATTTGGGATTAGGGACCTCGGATGAGGGAGGCGGATTAAGTATCCAATAACTTCGATCACACGACGAAAGACAACGCAAGCTCTGATTTTGCTGGTTTCTTATTTATCCAAGGTGTTTAATGATTTTGTTTGTCCACAGCACCACGGTAGCCATTAGCGCGGTGCTGGTGCTGAGCTTGGCCGGTGCTGCCCACGCGTGGGGTGGCCTCTTCAACCGGTTCAGCTCCGATATGCTGGCCAACTTGGGCTACGGGCGCTCACCCTACCGCCATTATCCTTATGGGCAGGTAAGATTATTGTTAATTAAGGGTTTTAAACACTTTTTTTATTAGTACATCGTATTCGACTGCCTCAAATGGTTCTCTTATTGTTCTCTGCTCAGGTTAATTGCCGGGCCGGACAAAATGTTCTTGGATTTTTCATATTTTCACTTCCTGTGTTACTTTCTATAACTTGGCAGTTCGGAGCTTTCTGCTTATATTTGTTTACCCTTACTTTTATAATACTCTCACTCATCCAAAATTAAAAAAAGTTAACATTATTACCCCATTCAATAAAAAAATAATCATAGAAATCGTTACAGGTGGACTTTACGCTGTAACTGTAGGGCCGATGGTTGAAATTAGCTTGAACCGATATTATAAATAATTCTTACTTATATTATAAATCGGAAAGTGAATTTGTTTGTTTGTTCCACTTTAGCGCTGTAACTACTAAACCGATTGCTTTGAAATTTTGCAGACGTAAAGTTAGAAGTCCAGATTAAATAATAGGGTACTTTTTATCCCGGAAAAATTGATATTCCCGGGGAAAACAAAAGTATTAGTATAGATGGCGCTGTGTATATTGGTGTATGTTACATAGGCTACTTTTTATCCTTTTGTGCCGCGAGCGAAGCCGCGGGCAGAAGCTAGTGTATTATAAATGTGAAAAAGTGTGAGTTTATGTGTATGTTTGTAACTCAGTCATATTAAAACGACTGAAGGGACCGGAATGAAATTTGGAACAGAGGTATATTATTATCTGAAGTATCACATAGGCATTTTACCCCTGGAATCGCGGGCAAAGCCGCTGGTAGAATCTAGTATGACTTTTTATAATAACTCTCGTGAGACATACTAAATTAACTAAAATCGCGGGTTACTCGCGTGAATATACTGAGAAAAACTCTACTAGTTTCGAACTACCGCCGTGAGCTGATATGCGCGACATCGCCGCAACTGCGCACGCTGCTTGTAACCTGCGATTTTAGATAATTTAGCTAGTATGACATTGAATGATCAAATATTCAGTCCAATTAATAACATTTTTACGCATCAAATTCTTTATCATAATATAAAGTTACATATCCATAAAATACTTCTGCCATTATATCTCCCACGTATTAAATCCCCATAAATTAATTAGAACAGGGATATAAAATCCCGTAACCTATCTTTGTTTACGCGCAAAGCCGTGACATTTACCGCGATGCGTATTATATTATATTAGGCGTAAAGGGCATTTGGGTAATCCTTATTAATTGTTATTTATAGCACGTCGGATTAGCTGTGTGAAACATGTTAGAACTTTGCTCCTTAATTAATGTTCATGATCCATACTAAACTTGACTGCCTCGTTGGCCGAGTGGTCGCAATTGTGCGACTGCCGGACAAGGGGTCTCGGTCGGCCAAAGTACTACTGGACAAAATAAATCTTTAAGAGAAAAAAAAGATAAAAATCTAAATCATAAAACTAAAACAAGATAATAAAAATAGATATAACATACTGCGCGGTGTTGGCAGACATGTCCAAGCCGAATGGGTCGTTAACTCAGCAAAAAGCTGGGCACAGTGAGCACCCAACACTGATTTTCAGTTGGCACCCCTGCAGTGACGCACGGACGAAAGCAATACATGCTTGTAATACGCATATGTCACAATTTAATTTTTATTTTGTGGGTTAGCAGGCAGCAATGATTGCTTACAATCAGGTGATCCATCGGCTCATGTACCTCTCTATTCTGTACTACCATATCCTAACCCTTATGTCTTTGACAGGAGCCCGAAGAAGTATACGCGGAGGCGTTGGAGGGCAACCGCATCGATGACGTCATTGATGAGCCGGCGCACTGCTACAGCGCTCCATGTTCCACCAACGGCGACTGTTGCCGAGGTCTGCTGTGCTTAGATACAGGTTAGTGACGTAGTAACTATAGTTTATTTTAGAATTAAGACCTGATTATGCTAGCGGATTGCTATCCTCTAAGCGTAGCAGGTGTCGCGGAGAACCTAACGGGTTACCGGGGCTCCGGTTCGACGTGCAGGAGAAGGAACGGGGTGGTTTTTAATCAGTAAGAAGAATCTGACACTCCCTCCCGCCTCACCCAGGCGGGAGTAGTCATTCGATGATTTTACCCACTTAAAAAAAAAGCGTAGCGTGTACGCTACAGTTGCGGCGAGGACGTCTCGGATGTTTGACAAATAGGTACCTACATTGTGTAATGAATATCGCGTGGATATCACGGCAAAATACGTTGTTTTCGAATTCGCAAAAAAACAAAACACAAACACCAAACACGCAAAACATGGTCACAGTTATATTGATTGGTGACGGCATCTCATAAGAATAGTGCAACGCCGAGCATGGTAACTTCGGGTCATAACGTCAACTTTAAACGATTGTAAATATTGGTAATAATAAAAAACATTAAGTAGATAACGCCTTGTTAGTCGACTGGTCGAAGAAAGGTCAAAGGTACTAATATTAAGTAGGAGAGTGGTTTAAATATTTCGTTTTCAAAAATTCTCAGTATCCAATAGCAAGGCGTCTGGAAAGGTGTCCTGTTTAAAATAGGTATAATTATATTATTATCACGTTCTAATATAAAAATATCCCTAATTTCAACAAATGCCCATTATATTTTTACAATGTATTTTGTATGAAATGAAATGTAAAATGTATAAGGTATATTGTTAATAAATACTTTAAACAAATCAAGATATCATCTACAGTCAGAATCGTAGACACTAATAAAAGGCCTCACCTACAGTAAGACCTTTTATTAGCGTTTAAGGTCCTGTAGACTCCTACTGGCGGCTTCGACGTCAAAAATATTTTCCAAGAAGATCCAGAAGAAAAGCAAGACATCATCTACGGTCAGAATCGTAGACACTAATAAAAGGCCTCACCTACAGTAAGATCTTTTATTAGCGTTTAAGATCCTGCAGACTTCTACTGGCGGCTTCGACATCAAAAATATTGTCCAAGAAGATCCAGAAGAAAAACAAGACATCATCTACGGTCAGAATCGTAGACACTAATAAAAGGCCTCACCTACAGTAAGATCTTTTATTAGCGTTTAAGGTCCTGCAGACTTCTACTGGCGGCTTCGACTTCGACGGCGACTTCGAAATCTAGTATTAAAATATTTTCCACGAAGACCAAATCAGAAGAAAACAAATGAAGACATCTACGGTCAGAATCGTAGGCACTAATAAAAGGCCTCACCTACAGTAAGATCTTTTATTAGCGTTTAAGATCCTGCAGACTTCTACTGGCGGCTTCGACATCAAAAATATTGTCCAAGAAGATCCAGAAGAAAAGCAAGACATCATCTACGGTCAGAATCGTAGACACTAATAAAAGGCCTCACCTACAGTAAGATCTTTTATTAGCGTTTAAGGTTCTGCAGACTTCTACTGGCGGCTTCGACTTTAAATATATTATTCAAGAAGATCCAGAAGAAAAGCAAGACATCATCTACGGTCAGAATCGTAAACACTAATGAAAGGCCTCACCTACAGTAAGATCTTTTATTAGCGTTTAAGGTCCTGCAGACTTCTTCTGGCGGCTTAGACTTCAAATATATTATCCAAGAAGATCCGGAAGAAAAACAAGACATCATCTACGGTCAGAATCGTAGACACTAATAAAAGGCCTCACCTACAGTAAGATCTTTTATTAGCGTTTAAGATCCTGCAGACTTCTACTGGCGGCTTCGACTTCAAAAATATTGTCCAAGAAGATCCGGAAGAAAAACAAGACATCATCTACGGTCAGAATCGTAGACACTAATAAAAGGCCTCACCTACAGTAAGATCTTTTATTAGCGTTTAAGGTCCTGCAGACTTCTACTGGCGGCTTCAACTTCAAAAATATGTTCCAAGAATATCCAGAAGAAAAGCAAAACGGCATCTGTGGTCAGAATCGTAGACACTAATAAAAGGCCTCACCTACAGTAAGATCTTTTATTAGCGTTTAAGGTCCTGCAGACTTCTACTGCGGGCTTCGACTTCGATGGCGACTTCATACTCTAGAATATTTTCCACGAAAATCAAGAAAGAAGGAAAAGCAAGACATCATCTACGGTCAGAATCGTAGACACTAATAAAAGGCCTCACCTACAGTAAGATCTTTTATTAGCGTTTAAGATCCTGCAGACTTCTACTGGCGGCTTCGACATCAAAAATATTGTCCAAGAAGATCCAGAAGAAAAACAAGGCATCATCTACGGTCAGAATCGTAGACACTAATAAAAGGCCTCACCTACAGTAAGATCTTTTATTAGCGTTTAAGATCCTGCAGACTTCTACTGGCGGCTTCGACATCAAAAATATTGTCCAAGAAGATCCAGAAGAAAAACAAGGCATCATCTACGGTCAGAATCGTAGACACTAATAAAAGGCCTCACCTACAGTAAGATCTTTTATTAGCGTTTAAGGTCCTGCAGACTTCTACTGGCGGCTTCAACTTCAAAAATATGTTCCAAGAATATCCAGAAGAAAAGCAAAACGGCATCTGTGGTCAGAATCGTAGACACTAATAAAAGGCCTCACCTACAGTAAGATCTTTTATTAGCGTTTAAGATCCTGTAGACATCTACTGGCGGCTTCGACATCAAAAATATTGTCCAAGAAGATCCGGAAGAAAAGCAAGACATCATCTACGGTCAGAATCGTAGACACTAATAAAAGGCCTCACCTACAGTAAGATCTTTTATTAGCGTTTAAGGTCCTGCAGACTTCTACCACCGGGGGCTTCGACTTCCATGGCGATTTCTGTTTATTACACTACTAAAATCAAAGTCCAAGCATTTACTCCAATTATTAATTAATTAGGCACTTTTGAAACGTCAAAAATTTTATTGTCCGTCTGTTTGACTATCAGTGAAGCTAGGCCTATAGTAGCGTGTAATGATAATTATTTACTTGTTATGTGTATTTTCTTCTAGTATTAACTTATATTATAATATTAATAACTAAGAAGATAAATCAAGAAGAAAAAACAAGACATCATCTACGGTCAGAATCGTAGACACTAATAAAAGGCCTCACCTACAGTAAGATCTTTTATTAGCGTTTAAGGTCCTGCAGACTTCTACAGGCAGCTTCGACTTCAAAAATATCTTCCAAGAAGATCCAGAAGAAAAGCAAGACATCATCTCCGGTCAGAATTGTAGACACTAATAAAAGGCCTCACCTACAGTAAGATCTTTTATTAGCGTTTAAGGTCCTGCAGACTTCTACAGGCAGCTTCGACTTCAAAAATATCTTCCAAGAAGATCCAGAAGAAAAGCATGACATCATCTCCGGTCAGAATTGTAGACACTAATAAAAGGCCTCACCTACAGTAAGATCTTTTATTAGCGTTTAAGGTCCTGCAGACTTCTACAGGCAGCTTCGACTTCAAAAATATCTTCCAAGAAGATCCAGAAGAAAAGCAAGACATCATCTCCGGTCAGAATCGTAGACACTAATAAAAGGCCTCACCTACAGTAAGATCTTTTATTAGCGTTTAAGGTCGTGCAGACTTCTACTGGCGGTTTCGACATCAAAAATATTGTCCAAGAAGATCCAGAAGAAAAACAAGACATCATCTACGGTCAGAATCGTACACACTAATAAAAGGCCTCACCTACAGTAAGATCTTTTATTAGCGTTTAAGGTCCTGCAGACTTCTACTGCGGGCTTCGACTTCGATGGCGACTTCATACTCTAGAATATTTTCCACGAAGATCAAGAAAGAAGGAAAAACAAGACTTCATCTCCGGTCAGAATCGTAGACACTAATAAAAGGCCTCACCTACAGTAACACCTTTTATTAGCGTTTAAGGTACTGCAGACTTCTACCACCGGGGGCTTCGACTTCCATGGCGATTTCTGTTTATTACACTACTAAAATCAAAGTCCAAGCATTTATTTCAAGTATTACTTAATTAGGCACTTTTGAAACGTCAAAAATTTTTTTGCCCGTCTGTTTGACTATCAGTGAAGCTAGGCCTATAGTAGCGTGTAATGATAATTATTTACTTGTTATGTGTATTTTATTCTAGTATTAACTTATATTATATTATAATATTAATAACTAAGAAGATCAATCAAGATGAAAAAACAAGACATCATCTACGGTCAGAATCGTAGACACTAATAAAAGGCCTCACCTACAGTAAGATCTTTTATTAGCGTTTAAGGTCCTGCAGACTTCTACTGGCGGCTTCGACTTCGAAAACATTTTCCAAGAAGATCACGAAAGAAGAAAAAACAAGACATAACAATATTTTTCAAGAATATCCAGAAGAAAAGCAAAACGCCATCTATGGTCAGAATCGTAAACACTAATAAAAGGCCTCACCTACAGTAAGATCTTTTATTAGCGTTTAAGGTCCTGCAGACTTCTACTGGCGGCTTCGACATCAAAAATATTGCCAAGAAGATCCAGAAGAAAAACAAGACATCATCTACGGTCAGAATCGTAGACACTAATGAAAGGCCTCACCTACAGTAAGATCTTTCATTAGCGTTTAAGGTCCTGCAGACTTCTACAGGCGGCTTCGACTTCAAAAATATCTTCCAAGAAGATCCAGAAGAAAAGCAAGACATCAACTCCGGTCAGAATCGTAGACACTAATAAAAGGCCTCACCTACAGTAAGATCTTTTATTAGCGTTTAAGGTCCTGCAGACTTCTCCGGGGCTTCGACTTCGACGGCGATTTCGAAATCTAGTATTAAAATATTTTCCAAGAAGATCCAGAAGAAAAAACAAGACGTCATATACGGTCAGAATCGTAGACACTAATAAAAGGCCTCACCTACAGTAAGATCTTTTATTAGCGTTTAAGGTCCTGCAGACTTCTCGGGGGGCTTCGACTTCGGCGGTGACTTCTGTTTATCAAACTACTAAAGTCAAAGACAAAA